TGGGAACATCCAAACCCTTCGGAGGAAATGAGGAGGAGCTGGGATTTCAGGCGCTTCTCATTGAATTGAGCTCGGTCTCTGGGGCAGATTTAGAATTAAAATATTGGGAAAGGCTGAGGGGGTTGTTCCCAGTGGGAAAACTCTGTTATTGTGGGTTTGGAGGTGCTGCCTTTTTCCAGGAGGGAATTCCAGCATTCCTGGCACAGAAAACTCCGTGGTGAGGCACAAACTGGGAACCAAATGATGCTTTGGAATCCAAGAATTGGGAAAGGTTGAGAGGATTGTTCCCAGTAGGAAAACTCTGTTATTGTGGGTTTGGAGGTGCTTTTTTCCAGGAGGGAATTCCAGTTTTCCACAGCTGGAATGGGAATTTTCCTGGCATAGAAAACTCTGTGGTGAGGCACAAATTTGGAACCAAGCAATCCTTTAGAATGAAAGAGTTGGGAAAGGTTGAGAGGGTTTTTCCCAGCAGGAAAACTCTGTTATTGTGGGTTTTGGAGGTGCTTTTTTCCAGGAGGGGATTCCAGTTTTTCACGGCTGGAATGGGAATTATCCTGGCATGGAAAACTCCGTGCAAATTGGGAAACAAGCGATGCTTTGGAATCCAAGAATTGGGAAAGGCTGAGGAGGTTGTTCCCAGTAGGAAAATTCTGGGTTTTTTTGGGTTTTAAGGTGCTGCCTAATTCCAGTTTTCCACGGCTGGAATGGGAATTATCCTGGCGTGGAAAATTCAGTGGTGAGGCACAAATTGGGAACCAAGCAATGCTTTGGAATCCAAGAATTGGGAAAGGCTGAGGGGGTTGTTCCCAGTAGGAAAACTCTGTTATTGTGGGTTTGGAGGTGTTTTTTTCCTAGAGGGAATTCCCGTTTTCCACGGAAAACTCCGTAGTGAGGCACAAACTGGGAACCAAGCGATGCTTTGGAATTCAAAGTTGAAAAGGCTGAGAGGGCTGTGCCCAGTAGGAAAATGGGTTTGGAGATGCATTTTTCCAGGAGAGAATTCCAGTTTTCCACAGCTGGAATGGGAATTACCCTGGCACGGAAAACTCCGTGGCGAGGAACAAATCGAGAATCAAACCATGCTTTGGAATCCAAGAATTGGGAAAGGCTGAGGAGGTTTTTCCCAGTAGGAAAACTCTGTTTTCTGTGGGTTTTGGAGGTGCTGCCTTTTCCAGTTTTCCACAGCTGGAATGGGAATTTTCCTGGCACAGAAAACTCCGTAGTGAGGCACAAACTGGGAACCAAATGATGCTTTGGAATCCAAGAATTGGGAAAGGCTGAGGAGGTTGTTCCCAGTAGGAAAACTCTGTTATTGTGGGTTTGGAGATGCTTTTTTTCCAGGAGGGAATTCCAGTTTTTCACGGCTGGAATGGGAATTTTCCTGGCACAGAAAATGGTGGTGAGGCACAAATCGGGAACCAAACGATGCTTTGGAATCCAAAAATTGGGAAAGGCTGACAGGATTGTTCCCAATAGGAAAACTCTGGTTTTTGTGGGTTTTGGAGGTGCTGCCTAATTCCAGTTTTCCACAGCTGGAATGGGAATTTTCCTGGCACAGAAAACTCCGTGGTGAGGAACAAATCGAGAATCCACGCTTTGGAATCCAAGAATTGGGAAAGGCTGAGAGGGTTGTTCCCAGTAGGAAAATGGGTTTGGAGATGCTTTTTTTCCAGGAGGGAATTCCAGTTTTCCACAGCTGGAATGGGAATTATCCTGGCACAGAAAACTCTGTGCTGAGGCACAAATTGAGAATCAAACCACGCTTTCCTCAGCACAGCTTCTGCTGAGATCAGTCTCCTTCCATCCCTGGGATTGATGACTCCTAAAATCCTTAAATATCCTCAAAATCAGCCTTTTTTTTTTTTTTCTTATTTTTACAGAATCTGAGAGGCTGGAAAAGCTGAGATGAAGAACCAGGGAGTGGAAACCAAAGCAGCTCCACGTCCTTCCAGAAGGAGCAGCGGGATGGGGCTGGAGGAGGGCGACTCCCCAGAGGCTGCAGCACCCCCAGAAGGTGGGGGATCCCTGGGAATTGGGGGGTTCTGACAGGAATGTGGGTTTGAGCCTGGAAAAAGCCAGGGCAATGCTTTTTTTTGCACAAAAACAGCTCTTTGTTGGGCAGAAAATCCTGGTTTCCAGAGCAGAAAATCCTGATTTTTCAAGGTGGAAAATCCTGGTGTTCCACAGTAGAAAATCCTGCTTTTCCATGGCAAGAAATTCTGATTTTTCAGGGCAGAAAATCCTGATTTTCAGCCTAGAACATCCTGATTTTTCAGGCTGGAAAATCCTGGTTTTCCACAGCAGAAAATCCTAATTTCTCGAGGCAGAAAATGCTGGTTTTCAAGGGTGGAACATTCTGGTTTTAAAGGCAGAAAATCCTGTTTTTTTTCCCATTTTTTTTCCCTGTGGGCTGTGCTGGCATTCCCTGGAATGTGTAAGTGTGGGTTTGAGCCTGGAAAAAGCCAGGGCAATGCTTTTTTTGCACAAAAACAGCTCTTTGTTGGGCAGAAAATCCTGGTTTTTAAGGCAGAAAATCCTGATTTTCCATGGCAGAAAATTCTGGTTTCCACAGCAGAAAATCCTGCTTTTCCATGGCAAGAAATTCTGATTTTTCAGGGCAGAAAATCCTGATTTTCAGCCTAGAACATCCTGATTTTTCAGGCTGGAAAATCCTGGTTTTCCACAGCAGAAAATCCTAATTTCTCGAGGCAGAAAATGCTGGTTTTCAAGGGTGGAACATTCTGGTTTTAAAGGCAGAAAATCCTGTTTTTTTTCCCATTTTTTTTCCCTGTGGGCTGTGCTGGCATTCCCTGGAATGTGTAAGTGTGGGTTTGAGCCTGGAAAAAGCCAGGGCAATGCTTTTTTTGCACAAAAACAGCTCTTTGTTGGGCAGAAAATCCTGGTTTTTAAGGCAGAAAATCCTGATTTTCCATGGCAGAAAATTCTGGTTTCCACAGCAGAAAATCCTGCTTTTCCATGGCAAGAAATCCTGATTTTTCAGGCCAGAAAATCCTGGTTTTCCAGGGCATAAAATCCTAATTTTTCAAGGCAGAAAATGCTGGTTTTCCAGGGCAGAAGATCCTGGTTTTAAAGGCAGAAAATCCTGTTTTTTTTCCCAATTCTTTCCCTGTGGGCAGCACTGGCATTCCCTGGAATGTGTGAATGTGGGTTTGAGCTTGGGTTTTGTGCGTTTTCTGCACAAAAACCGCCAGATCTAGCTCTTTGTTGGGGCAGAAAATCCTGGATTTCCAGGGCAAAAAAATCCTGGTTTCCAGAACAGAAAATCCTGATTTTTCAGGGTGGAAAATCCTGGGTTTCCAGGGTGGAAAATCCTGGTTTTCAGGGCAGAAAATCCTGATTTTTTAGAGTAGAAAATCCTGGTTTTCCAGGGCAGAAAATCTTGATTTTTCAAGGCAGAAGATCCTGGTTTTAAAGGCAGAAAATCCTGGTTTTTCTCCCATTTTTTTCCCTGTGGGCAGCGTTGGCATTCCCTGGAATGTGTAAGCATGGGTTTGAGCCTGGAAAAAGCCAGGGCACTGCTTTTTTTGCACAAAAACAGCTCTTCGTTGGGGCAGAAAATCCTGGTTTTTCGGGGCAGAAAATCCTGATTTTTCGGGCCAGAAAATCCTGATTTTCAGCCTAGAAGATCCTGATTTTTCAGGCTGGAAAATCGTGGTTTTCCACACCAAAAATGCTGGTTTTGAAGGGCAGAAGATCCTGGTTTTTAGAGGCAGAAAATTCTGGTTTTTCTCCCATTTTTTCCCTGTGGGCAATTTTTGGTTTTTGCTTTTTGGGGGTTTTTTTTGGT